ATCAGAATGTAAACTCTTTAATTTCGGCATGAGTCTAAACTGATAAAAGGGTCATCACATTTTGGTTAATCTTTATCAATATTTTATTTCATATGTGCACAAAGTCTACATTTCTGTGCTGTTTTCCTCTGAAGTAAGGTGGGGATCAAATTAGGGAGCGGCATGTTCACATAAGTGTGGCGTGTGGAGGTTTATCTATTTGTTTGCCAGTGTTGATGTGATCAGAGCATACAAGAAAAATGGTAATACTTTTCACAATAATATAACATCTGGATGTTGAATGAATATGACATTCATTGATAAAGTAGCTACTTTCAGTGAGGCATAATGAAGAACTGTCATCTAATCTGATGATGTCGTACAGTGGAAATGTTTCATTACAGCACATGTTGATGGGATGGATCCAGCTATTCAGCTGCATTGCAAAAGCAGAAAGCTTTTCATTATTTTTTATACTCCGATCCTGCTACACCATTAAATGTTTGTCTAGTCTTAGACCATTAGCACCATTGTAACTTCCATTCAGTCAGTCTGTTTCTTGTAGATAAGAAAAAATGTCTTGACTATAAAGCCAGGTATAAAATTAGGATAGATACAGATTCAGATACTCATGCAGAGGTGGCTTCAGGAGAGAGTTTGATTCGGAAAAGTGCTTGTGTTCATTCACAGATGAAACTGTCACGGATTTGTGAACACTGCCTGTGTTCTGAATCCACTGACAAGAGGAATCACGCAAACAATAAGAAAAATACAATTTCCTCAGAAATAGAGGTAGAATTTTCAAAGCTCATAATATAGTTCTGTTTAACTTGGATAGCTAGTCATAGGCTCTGTAGAACATTGTGTAATAACATTGACATCACTTGTCATTTGGATTATGTTTATGTTTTAATTACAGATTTCCACCAAGATAAATCTGCAGTAGGCTATGGAAGAGGTCTTATGAATTTCCTTGTATCAGATTCTGACTAGTAGTAGTATTGGTACATTATATTAGGTAGTCTCCTTTAATTTATGTTAAAACCCTCAGTCCCTGTGTTCTCAGAACTGCTTCTTGTGAGTCCTAAGCCATCTTAAGATCACAAATGCTGCTCTGATACTAACATGAAGGATCAGAGCATTTCTTGTACTTTGCCTTTGATAGGAACTCTGAGCCATATACAGTGGCAAACAGTTCACTTACTGCTTACATGCAATGGGAAATACAGCCATATCGGGGAAACTTCTATTTTGCAGATTTTGTAGAAGTCCTCTGTAGTTATCAAGAAAGATAGATGTAGTCCTTGAGATTTCCCATTGATCCTGGTCCCACCACCGTCCACATCAGAGGTCTACCACAGAGCATAGTGTGGCTCCTCCTAGCCCACAAAACCATGGTTCCTTTTGATGGAAAATAGGGTGCATGGCAGGAGGGCTGGTATATATCTAAATTTTTCTCGATATAAAATCAGGGTCTGGTAAAAGCATGCACTAACATCCAGGAAGTACATCCAAGTCCTGCAGCTTAATATTCATTTTCTGAGCCCAGAATCCATGCAAAAGTGTTTCATATTATCTATGGCAAGAGTAAGACAAAGCATCCCATACTTCCTGCAGACTGGAATTGTATTGTTCTATTCTGAGACTGTCTTTAGCCTCCTTGGGAAAGATCATGGCAGAAGGAGTGGCTAACCTTGAGAGTCACCTCAAGGTAGGCTGCAGATCTTGTCGTTGCCATGAGAAGGGACTAATTGCAAAGCATCCAGTCTCTGGAGAATTTTCTTATGTATGAATCCAGTCCAAAAAGGCTGATTTCTTTGTGTGACACATTCACATAAAACAGTGTGAAGTTTCCAGCTATTAATCATTTTGTCTCAAGTTTGAGCAACTGTCTCCTCAGGTACAGGCTTCTGAAGCTTTTTTTTTCTCAAATACACCAAGGCAACAGGTCCCCTTCCCCCTATTTCACTTGTTAGAACAAATCCTACCCCCTTTCCTGCATGACAGCACTATTACTTTTATAATCATGTACTCCTAGACATCGTTTTCCAGATGGTGTGACGGATGGCATAATCTGCAGTAGGCTATGGAAGAGGTCTTATGAATTTCCTTGTATCAGATTCTGACTAGTAGTAGTATTGGTACATTATATTAGGTAGTCTCCTTTAATTTATGTTAAAACCCTCAGTCCCTGTGTTCTCAGAACTGCTTCTTGTGAGTCCTAAGCCATCTTAAGATCACAAATGCTGCTCTGATACTAACATGAAGGATCAGAGCATTTCTTGTACTTTGCCTTTGATAGGAACTCTGAGCCATATACAGTGGCAAACAGTTCACTTACTGCTTACATGCAATGGGAAATACAGCCATATCGGGGAAACTTCTATTTTGCAGATTTTGTAGAAGTCCTCTGTAGTTATCAAGAAAGATAGATGTAGTCCTTGAGATTTCCCATTGATCCTGGTCCCACCACCGTCCACATCAGAGGTCTACCACAGAGCATAGTGTGGCTCCTCCTAGCCCACAAAACCATGGTTCCTTTTGATGGAAAATAGGGTGCATGGCAGGAGGGCTGGTATATATCTAAATTTTTCTCGATATAAAATCAGGGTCTGGTAAAAGCATGCACTAACATCCAGGAAGTACATCCAAGTCCTGCAGCTTAATATTCATTTTCTGAGCCCAGAATCCATGCAAAAGTGTTTCATATTATCTATGGCAAGAGTAAGACAAAGCATCCCATACTTCCTGCAGACTGGAATTGTATTGTTCTATTCTGAGACTGTCTTTAGCCTCCTTGGGAAAGATCATGGCAGAAGGAGTGGCTAACCTTGAGAGTCACCTCAAGGTAGGCTGCAGATCTTGTCGTTGCCATGAGAAGGGACTAATTGCAAAGCATCCAGTCTCTGGAGAATTTTCTTATGTATGAATCCAGTCCAAAAAGGCTGATTTCTTTGTGTGACACATTCACATAAAACAGTGTGAAGTTTCCAGCTATTAATCATTTTGTCTCAAGTTTGAGCAACTGTCTCCTCAGGTACAGGCTTCTGAAGCTTTTTTTTTCTCAAATACACCAAGGCAACAGGTCCCCTTCCCCCTATTTCACTTGTTAGAACAAATCCTACCCCCTTTCCTGCATGACAGCACTATTACTTTTATAATCATGTACTCCTAGACATCGTTTTCCAGATGGTGTGACGGATGGCATAAGAGGCTGCAGAAAGGAAAGAAGAAAGGAGATGGGAGGGCACAGAGATGGGACCTCTCAGGGCTTCCTGCAGGCAGCCCCAGGCAGGTAGTGAGGGGGCACCAAGCCAGACCAACCAACCCTTGAAGGGGTCCAAAATACCTTCCACTGCCCAGAAGGGACAGGCAGAGATGGGTGCCCCTCAGAAAGCTGCTGTTAGCAACTGCCTGCCCACACAGGTGGAGGGACCCAGCAGCAACATAGTCTGGGGAAAGGAAATGGCTTGAAACTATAACATCATACAGTGATGACCCCTAGGTGCTGGTCTCCTCCTTATCTTACAGGTTGTGGAGCCTAAATAAAAATTTCCGTGAAAACTCCTCTGTATGTGTAGGAGTTCTCTATTTCCTTACAAATCTGAGTATTTACCTATTATACCTTTTTTGCTCACATACATGCTATTTTTCAAGTTGAAGCAAGCTTAATAGCAAAAAAAAAAATCCATCACTTTAACAGGTTGGCCTTCTGTCAGAAGGAAATAGATATTTTCTGAAATTTCTAAAAAATAAAAGTATGTCTAAAATCTTCAAACCTGTTCAAAGTGAGGTTATAACATTTCAAGTTATTGAGAGAAAGATTGGGAGAAATCTTCTGATGGTTATAGAATTTGTTAAATGGTATATTAATCATAGTCTCCATAAGATTATATATACACTGTGTCTACAATTTCAATTTAAATATACACTTCTTGCTGTTTCAGAATTTGGTAGTAGACTGTAGAACAAATCGACGCTTCCTCTTATTATAGTTTCTGAAATTATTTCTGCTGTTTGAAATGAGCATTAAAGGCAGTTATTTTAGATATTGGTCATTTTTACCTTCCTTCTCTTCCTTCACTTCACAGAATCATTAGATTATTTTTGTGTGTTTGGTTTTTAATTTGATTTTCTTAGCCATGTCTTTGTATGCCTACTGGGGGAATACTGATATACCCGCTGCCCTATGCTAATGTGGCTTTATTACACCATGACTGAAATTGACTCAGTGTGTTTTATATAAAACTGTTTGTTTTATATAAAAAATATATGTCTGTTGCTCAGAAGAGCTTAAGGATCCAACAGAATCTAGCTGAAACCTATTCTTCTCCTGGTTATATCTTTTCTGTGAACCAGATTGTTTCCTTCTTAACAGGCTGGAAGCTCCCCTTGAATAACTTAAGACATACTCTAATATTACTGCATGGTATAATAAATGTATATGGTGCCCTATGGGTATCACAGTTGGATTGTTAATCATATGCCAAGGACATTGATGCTCATATATCAGTTTGGAGACAAATCCTGCTGCAATGAAGAAAAGCCAGCCTTAAGGCACCATGTAAAATATTACAGATTACTGATTTATCAAGTGATAGTAACTAATGACAGGGAATAAACTCTCTCTTCTTTTAAGTCATCCCCTCATGTGAAAGTATCATCAATGACCTGTCTAGCAAAGCAGCACTTAGCTTTTGCACAGCAATCGATGTCTCCATAATGCAGCAGCTGGTCTGCAGTGGTAATTCCCAGTAATCTCTTCACACCATAATTCTCAGTGATCTCTGCGAGAGTCAGGAATTCTCAGCAGATGCCCAGGGTCAACTGCTAGGAGATAAACAGGGGACTTTTGCAGAGATTGTTTCTCCTTATAGAGTGTGGAAGGGAATTTCATGTACAATTACATTACAGCTACCTGGAAAGAGAAATTAAGTTCAACAGCAGTGAAGCAGTTGAACCATGCTAGAAGTTTACAGACTTTAAAGAAAAAGTTAATTTTTATTTTCTTTTACCCACAGGTCTACCCACGGATAGCGCCGGCATTTTGGCACTACCTGCGGGTAGAAGTGAGTAGCGGGTATTTGAATACTCCCACATCTTATCTTTACAGCTTACTAGTATTTACTGACCTCTTAGTTTTTCCATTGTGCAAAAATAATTAGCTACCATTCTAGCTGCCATTTTCTCTGAATGTAGTCTTGTACTAATTCCATATTGTTTTGACTACAATGTAATTACTAACCCAAGACACAAAGATGTGATGTGTTTATATGCAAGATTAAAGACAAAAAATTGAAATCTAAGTCAAGGCCATATCATACATTATGACTATAGCACAAAATCAAAGTACAGAAATCCATACCTGCACTTCCTTTTATAAACACATTTTACATTCATGAGAAGAATATGGAGCTTCCGTTCTGCTATATCATTTTTGCAAAGTTTGTATAACTCAACTTGATACCATTTCTCCCCTCTTTTGTCCCTCAGGAGCATGAGCAGCTCAGCTATTCCTCCACAAGGTCCAAGGCTCCAAGTGTTATCATCACAGGTCTCAAGCCAGCCACCAAGTATATATTTCATATCAGAGTCAGGACGGCAGCAGGATACAGCGGCTATAGCCAGAAGTTTGAATTTGAAACTGGAGATGAAAGTAAGTTTCACTGAAGGAAAAAAAATCAAATAAAACAGAAGAAACATCTAATTCTAAAACAATGAGACATTGGGAGTTTGAATGGCTGAATCCATACCATTTGCTTATCACAAAATGACTACTGCTTTATGATAAAACAAAATGTAAACCCCAGCCTCACACTCCTGGATTTATAACAACAAATAGAAATTTCAGCCTAACACTTCAACTGAAGGAATGTTTTCTTCTTCAGAATTTCCTTATGGGTCCCTTCCAACTTGAGATATTCTATGATTCTATCATCTTTTTTTTCGCTTAAAGAAGGCCTTCCTTTTGACATCTAGAAATACCCTTAATCAGGCTTTACATAAGTCCAGCAGGTTCATGCAAACTCCTAGAACACAGTGATGGAGTCTTTTCTCTGTAGTTTTTAGTGCTCCCAGACTCTACACATAAAAAAACCCGAAAATGTTTATATGCATTTACATCAACCAATAAGCATATTGAATTTGCCAGTAAGAAGCAAAAAGCCTTCATATCCCTACACAATATGCAAAAAGGCTTGATGTTATGTATGATGTTCATGCTCTGAACAATTTTATATTTAAGTCATGTATTGCACTCCATGTTCAAAGAAACTGCAAACAAGGTATTTACAAGCATTTGAGATAAAATTATAGTAGTAGATACAACACTAAAACACTCATTAATGAAATTACTTTAATTAACCAATTATGTATACCATGTTTTTCATTAGTGTTTTAGAATTCAAGTTGCTTAAGCTAAAGTACAGATTCAAAACTATGTAAGTGTTTTCAAGAGCACCCATGGGTTTATGTTCCATTTTCATTGCTTCTTAACTTTGATTTCAAAATTGTTTTAGGGACAGATTTCCAAGTGCTTAATGCCTAATTGGACCTTTTAAAATTTTCTGAGTATTTAAGCCAATTGGTTTGAATAGGAGTTGAGCACTTGGGTGCTTTCAAGAATTCCATCTTCTGATGCAATAAATACTAGGCTTTAGGCACCCAGGGACAGAAGTCTTATCAAAAGTAAATGGTATTTAAGCCTCTATGAGCCTACATCATATTTGTGAAAATGTGACTTACCCATCTAAATCAGGAAGACTGTGGTTCCAGTGACATTTCTCTCATTGGCACTGCAGATAGAAACATCTCCTGGGAGTGAGATTCCACCCACTCCTTCCCAGCCCCACATCTCCTTCTCAGCTGCACTAATGCAACTGGCCCTTGGGCTGCATGGTGAGCTAGAGTTCCCAACACTCTTGAACATTAATTATCTCATTACTTCTAAGCACTCAGTGTGAATCTTAATAGTGAAACATAAATACACATTATATATTTGCTGTTTACCAACATTTATTGCTTAAGCTTGTGCCTGACTAAAAGTATTTGATTTGATATAAACATAAATCATCGTGTGATTGAAAGGAAATGTAGACAGAAGAGGTTTTGTTTATGATCAGTTGAGATGGACATCAAGAGAAATTTTTTCCACTGTTTGAAATGGTACCTGGAGCTAGATAAAGACTTCAGTTTAATTAAAAGGGTAGCTCAAAGGACTGTGGTCTTATTCAAATATTTATACCGTACTGCTTTAGATTCCAAAGGGGAAAAAAAACCCCAAAGTGCCTGCTGGTAAATATTACTTATTTCAAACTGAAGGAGTACTCAGTGACCAGTCAAATGATTCCTTGTTAATCTCCTTCCTCACAGCAGTATTTTGAAAATTGGCCTATTCTAAATATAAGGCAATATCAAATGATTACGATTATTCATTTGTACCCCTTTCGTAACAGGCCAAATGTCTGTAAGTCTGACTTTTCCAGACAGCTAATGACAATAGATTGAAATGTAACATCTTCCATATACATATAGTATTGATTTAAAGTCTTCCAGTAATGGAGAGCTTACCATATTTATAGGTAGATAGTGCCAGTGCTTAAGCCTCATAATTAAAAATACACACCTTATTTCTAGCCTGAATTTTTTTATTTAGCTTGCACCTTGTGACCCTTTTCTGCCAAGTTAAAAAGCCAAATACAACTAGAAATCTCTTCTTCATTCTAAATGTGTTTGCCATTTTAAAGCATTCTCTTGTCTTTCCCACAAATTATATAAATACTCTCTCTCATTCTATAAAAAACCCAATTTTTCCAAGCATTGAATCATTTTGTAGCTCTCCAAAATTTTAACGTCCTTTTTGAAGTGTAACATCAGAGCTGAACCTGATACTGAATTAAACTGGAAAACTAAACCTGTTTATGATGCCATAAACAGACCTAACATAGCTTACCTCCTTATAACTCAGTTTTCTTTTACTTACGGGTCTAAGCATTTGCTGCCTGAATTAGAGCATTGTCATACACAGCTGAATAACTAGAACATAGCAACGTTTTTGTCAGTACTGTTGTATTCCGAGATACTGACCTACATTTAGATGGAGGGATTGGGGAGGGTTTGTGTTGGGCCTTGGACTGCATAGTTACATCAGTACATGTAAATGTTAATTCACCCTTGCTGGCATGCATCTATCTTATAAACCAGTCCAAGTCAAGCTGTGGAGGAATCTATCTTCATCATTCACTCCTCTGGCAGTGTGCAACTCAACTGAAAATTTTCTGGGTTTTTTAATATATATTATTCTCAGTTATTCTGAAAGATACCAAATAATATTAGACCAAGGCAGACTATTGCAGCTCCCCCCATCCCTACTCATTATAAACAAGTTACTTGGTGACAATTCCACATTGGCAATTACTTTTTGTGGTCTTTCAGTTACCAGATTTTAATTAATTTAATGTGAGCTATACTGTTTTTAATATAAAGTAAACATTTTCATCAGAAGGCTAGAAAGAATAGAGTCTTTTAAAAGTCTGTATTGTCAACAGAAAATTTATCAACCAACAATCTCATTAAAATGAAAAAGAAGTGTATGATCTGTTTCAAAAAATCCTTCTCAGCTGACATTAGCTAGTAACATCCTTCAGCTCTGACAGTTGTACATATTATAGCCCTAATATCTAACGAAGAATTCCAGGACCAGTTGCAGGTGAAAATCCAAGGTTATTCCATTTACCCTGCTTGAATATTGACATAATTTGTTAATTAATAGTGGTAAAGTGAGCAATCCAAAATTAGGAATTTTTTTTGAAGTGATAAACAAGTTGTAAAAGACTAATGGTTCACCAGTTGTGAGACATGTCCTAAAACATGCTGCCCTTGGCAGGACAGTGCTGTCATGCCTTCTCCAGTTTACTGGTTGAAACACTATCTGTGCTGCTTCAGTTATATAGGATAAAATTAGATATATCCTTACTAGGAACACCAAGTATAATTATTAATGGTATAATTATTAATGGTGGTACATGAAGCAGGAAGAAGGCCAACTCTGTAGGAGTAATGAAAAAACAGTTAGTTCAGTTAATCGTGCAATGCTGATCTGGTTTTTGGGAAGCACCCTCACTCACTGACCAGCAGACTGAGGCAGCCATGCTTGGGGAGAATGTTCTTGAACTCTTCTCCCTGCTGCAGAGACCAATAATGGAACATCTGAAAGAGTAAAATTTGTACTTTCTTTGTGAAAGGAAACAGAGTTACCTAGAGAAATCAGAAAAATTCTCTTCAAGGAAACAGGGCTGGATGAATGGGTGTTGTGAGGCATTTCTTCCACTGTTAAGGCTAAGATGCTGCTGCTGGGAAATGTAATACCTTTGCAAAGCATAGTAACAACTGCTTTTGGCCATGTTACTTATTGCCATTTTATTCAGTCTCCCTGTTTCAGCACCTTACAGGCAAAATACTTCTAGCAAAGCTGCCAGGGTTTCATACACTTCAGCATATGTATGTGTACCACTGCTGTGGCTATAAATTGAAGCACAACCTCACTCATAGTTCCTGCTTTTGTGTATCAGGGGTACCAACTATCTGAGTCACCACAAAAAAACTCTGGTCCTTCCTAGGACAGAGTAAAATGTATTCCAAAAATAAAAAATCATTTGTTCTAGGGCAAACATGCTTTGATCTCTAACTGTTTTCTTTCTCCCTCTCTATTTTTCTCTCTTTTTTCTAACTAGCTGTTTATGGAAGACTTTGTTTGTTTGTTTGTTTAAATTAATGATTCAAAGCATTCTTTTTTTTCTGGAGCGCTGTTTTTTATTATATCACCTCAGAGGCCCTTGTGCCTAGAGGAGTTTGTAAAATATCGAACCATTTACAGCTATTAGGAAGTGCAGTGTTTTCACGCTAGAGCTCTCTTGTACAGGGCTTGTTCTAAAACCAAGGATGTTTTCCATGTCAGCCTTCCCATCATTAGGAAAAAAAAATCTGAAAGGGAACTAGTTGGCTTGTTCCAGAAAGGACCTAAGGGGCAAACTAACATGTGCAGTGTGGAATAGTGCTTGGGCTGAACAGAGCGATAAATGTAAGCCCATGATGATTTTTAATCCAAAAGCAATGTAGACTTTTGTATGCTTCAAATTAATTAACTAAAAATTCAGAAATGCTGTTAATATACCTGATTAGGTATTTTATAAATTTGTGGACTGTGAAAAATTATTTGGCCTGAAATCCTAATCTTGATGGAACAGTAACTTTCATTTCTTTACCACAGGCACAGATGGTGACTTTCTTGTATTACCAAATCTGTTGAATTCTCATATTCTTCCTCCTCTTCCCGCATCCACAAAATCTATCTTCAACTTTTCATCCTCAACTCATGATATTTTGGATTTGCCACCAGATCTGATTTAGAGCCCGAGCTCTATTCTTTCCAGAACTCCAAAGCTCAAGAGAGGGGTCCTGAATCATTGGTTCCAATAGAGGTCCAATGTTGTTTCAAGCACATGCTCTGATTCATGCCATGACAGAGAAGCCATCCTTAGGATTTTTAGAAATACTTTGAATTACCAATACAAAATGAAGATTTTTTTTGTTAGAATGTTTGATGTTTTGACATTAGTAAATTAAATTTCTCATTGAAACAAACAAATGAGATGGCACATACCTCATATTTAGAAACTGTCTTGCTGGATCTCCCCCCATGTCCTACTGTTCATTTCATAGTAGTCAGCACTGCATACCTCAGAATGTCTCATTTTAATCTGGAAATATTTCCTTACTGTGTTTTATATTTTCAGCCATTTGTTCTTCAAATTTGACGTTGGCCTATCTGATTTCTCTACTGTATGTGCCCAGATGCCCCAGAGACTTTACTTTTCCTCTGCATTTCCTAAGCAAGAGCAACATCCTTGCTCAGATCTCAAACTGCTTACACAGGCTTTGCATCCATCCACTGGTCAGGAAGCTCATGTTAGGGGCAACACTTGGAAGAAGCCTTTTGAAGTGAATAAATACCAGAAAGTTTTACATTCTTATGCTAGTGATGGCATTATTTTTCCCTTTTAAAAGTCCTTTGTCAGATTGCCTTTCCACGGACTCCTCCCTTTCCCACATTCCCCCTTAGATTGGAGCCCATCAGCTCACTGGAGCACAGGAACTGCAGCACTTCTGAAAATGTAAAGGTTGCCCTAATTAGACTTTATATTTTTCTTCCCCATTGTTCTTAAGCACTGATGTTTACAGTGCCTTGTAAATCCACCTGACAGCCAGTTCCTGTCTATTAGAGCTCCAGTTCTCACTGTCCACACTTATCTATCTTACAGCTACTCAGCATTATCTGCCTAGCTGTCTTTCTGTCACTTTTTTATCTCTCAGTCTGCTGGAAGGTCCGCTGCCTGATAGATGTCAAATTGAAATAACTAAAGAGACAGAAGTGAGCTGTCATTAGGGCTTCCAGCCCTTTTATACCAAATATACAACATCTTAAAATATTTTGGAGACATTTGCTCAAGGAAAAGAAATGAGAACAGAGCTGGAAGATTCTCTGTTTTTCATCCTCTTGCACCATGACTAAAACATCTGCACCGTTTCTTCCAGTCTGCCCAGTGAGGAAGGAAAGAAGGCTTGGGATATCTCCCTTCAGCCCAGAGAGGAGGGCAAGTGCAGCTCGCTCCTCCTCCACAGATCTGGGTGAAGAACCCAGAGAGGAGCTGAGACAGGGTGTGGATGTAAAGAGTAGGTGGTGGAGACAGAACCAACACCAGGCTGGATGCAGAAGGGATTTCTGGGCATGGTGTTAAGCAAAGAAGCTGGAATGATGCAATTAGACACTTTAAATATTACTTCAGGCATATAACCCAAGTTAAGTATGAAGAGTAACGGGAGTGAAGAGTTTATCTGGATAATACGCTTCTGGGTACACATATGGCACATGCTGCAGTTTTAAAATCAAATCAGCACTTTGACTAATCACATTAGTTGCAGCTACAATGTGTTTCAAGAGTTTTGATACCCAAACATTTTAGTATACTATCTAATCATCTGCTGGGATAAGTAATAAATCCTCCCTTTTCCCTGTCTTACGCTACTCATTTTTTAAAGTCTGTTTTTCTCAAAATGAAGCAGACAAGCAGAGAGAATGAAACATACTACTAGACAAAATAGCCACCCCAGTTAGAAAGGCACTAAGCTCCCTTATGCGTCTTAGCACTCTTTGTGCTTTACATATTCCTGTTGCACCAGCCCTCCCTCACCCCCTTGCCTATCAGCTTTAACTATCAAATGGAGTATGGCCCCATGCATGATACAGCCACATTCAACCCTCCGATCACAGAGCTACTAATCATCCCTCCACTGGGTGGATTTGGGTGGTGCATAGTTGGCAGATACGAGACCATGCACTGGACAGTGTAGAGACAACAAAATACTGATTTTAGCTATATGAATGCTCACCATGTTGTCTAACAAATAAGACTCTGGAAAAAATGCTACGTACTTCCATGATTAAATGCAATACTCTAATATGTACACATGAAAAGAGGAAACAAGGTTGCAGGAAATTGCGTGGCTTTGCAACCTATCATAATTGTTTTTTAAACTGAGATTTTGTGTCTTGCATAATCAAGAATAGTCCTGAGGAGAAACACAGGGTCATATACCAATAAGCACAGCTGGTGGAAAGGAAAAATGAAGAAAGAAAAGCAGGAAACGACAAAAAAGATTCAAGAACACCCACAACAGGAATAATACACATTAAAGCTCTTATTATTTACAACTTGAACTTAACAGAAAGCTAGAGAAATGAGAAACTAACAGAGAGATTGAGGGGCATGTTGAATTTAATTTAGAATTACAAAATGCTGTAAAAATTTTAATTATTGAGTGTTTCTGATTACTATCTTCTCACTGCCTAGATGGCGTTTTATGGAACCTTTCACCTGCATGTGAGGAGTCTGTGTATGTGCATACATGTGCTTATGTATGTGTTGTTCACTGCACTGTGCCTTTATTGATTTCTAGAAGGATCACTTCAAGCAAAAATAAGTATTTCCATCAATTTGCCTTACCTGCCTCTCTGTCAATTTTTAGCAAATCCACGTTTTCCAATTATATTTGTCTGTCACTTGACATTTTTATCTGACAAGTAAATTAAGGTCATAGGGAAGTTTCAGGCTTGAAAGCCCCTTATAGTGATTTAGCTACATGAAAAAAAAAAATCCTAATATATTGGGCTCTGGCACCTCTGCCAACACAGTAAAATACAAACAAGAGAAACAGAATGATCACTTTTTAAGTATGTACAGTCTCAGCTAAAAGCCATATTGCTTAGGGGTGGAAAGAGCTAAGTCAGTCTGGAATTTCTCCCCTTCATGAATCTGACTCTGGTTTCTGGTGGAAAATATATGTTATTAAACTGATAGATTGCATTCTGTTTCAGCTCAAACACCAAGAAATAGCAGCTCCATTCAGCAGAAATGGTCCAGGACACATCACTCTCTTCATCTCGATAGCTGCAGAGTGCTTGTTTGGACCATGGAATCAGTCCCTACATTTGCACTTTTAATTCTCATGAATAAAGGCCCTGGGTTGTCTCCTTGGCAATGAATGTCTGTTGGAGAAAACCACACCTAGTTTATCCAAGCGCATGGTTCACTTTTCTCCTGCTGAATTCACTATTTTTGCACACCTCTTTTTCCTATTAAAAAAAAAAAAAGAGTTTGTCCTCTCAATTCCATTGCAGAGATGGGCAAGACAGACTCATCTAAAACCTCCTCCTCCATCTACAACTCCACACTGTGCCTGGCTGTAATGACCTTTGCAACATTCAGCACAACCCCTGCTAGTCTGAAAACAGTATTCAGTGTTTGATTTGGAGAGCCTGATATTATTTGCATTGTTACTTGCGTGGCATGAGATTTGTTATGTTGTATTTTCCCAACTAAATCTGACCCTGTGGAACGTAACACAATACAGAGCTAGAATCCTCTCCCATAATATCACTGGATAACATTTTGGAGATTAGTTGTTCAGTGAGTATTTGCTACATCATTTATTGGAAGATGTATGTATTTAACTTGTCTGCAGAGATCTTGTGACCACAGATGCCAAATGCCTTGTAATTTACTGCCTGGGTGTATCTCCATTAAATTATATAGGCAGAAACCTAATGGCAGAAATTTAACACATTGCTTTTGCTGAAAATTTGACATAAACTACTATTGTTTTTATTTGCTTTACTACTATTACAAAGCCAGTTTACACTTCTAATTTCTAAATCATTCACAAATATTATTTCAAAGCCAAATGTTTTTCTGGGTAACAGCATTTTATGAGGCTTTGGGCAGCAATGTGTGCGTTGTACTGGACTTCATCAAGTGCAAAGTGAGAGAATATGGCCTGCTGAGCTTTCTCCTTGCAGCAACCTAGCTGATTTCCCTAAGCTTTAAATCATCTGGCACCTAAAGAAAGCTGAAGATTTTGCTTATAGAACAATTTGCAAGTTTACAAAATCAAAGTTACTTTCCTGATAAATCTAAAATTTATTTTCTTTGATACATTTACTACAGTTGTCAGAGGTCATTGAATAGAATTATTTATTCTCCTTTCAGAACAATGTTATGTTTCTCATGGAAACAGAAATTAAGAATTAGGTAAACATCATGTGGTGAAGATGTTCAAATGTAACCGAGTTTAAAAAATAAAACTTTGGAGTCACAAGACAGGGAATAGAGAAAAAACTGAGCCTAATTTTTTTTCTGCTCATGTAGTACTTGGACAGTGAGGACCAACTGTACTGTAAGTAGGTACTTTGTGAATGTAAAGATTTAGTATTATACAGAATAAATTAATAAAAAGAGCAAGTGTCTAGAGATGGGATAATTTGGGGTGATCTTTTTTAACTCCTAAATGTCCTACAAAAAGCAGAGAGAAAAACATGAGGCATAAGAAAATATTTTTTTTCAACTGCAGTGTTGCCAACCACCAGAGGATGTTATGCATAAAACTGTATATATTTTATATGCAGGATTAAGCTAAATAAAGCTAAAGAAAAAAATATGTTCTAGTTTTGTGTCCAAAATCTCTTTTTAAAAACCTGTAAACGACTTCTCCCCTTCATCATAGTTGGGACATGGATTACGGTTTTTCACTTCACAGGCGCACTCACATCTGATGTCCTTGCTAAGCACTGAGGAAACTATTACAGAGTAATTGCAACATTTGACCAGAGAAATGTTATCACCCATTCTGCAAGGGCCCTGTGCGATGGAGCTTTAACCTCTTTTCTTTGTGCTTCTTTTTTAGCTTCTGATATGGCTGCGGAGCAGGGACAGATTCTTGTAATTGCCACTGCTGCTGTTGGTGGATTCACTCTCCTGGTCATCCTCACTTTGTTCTTCCTGATCACCGGGAGGTAATTAACACTGTTCTCATTTACTCAGGATCAGAGTTATCCAAAATAAGAATTTAAGAATAATAGTTAACTCACTGACCACATTTTCAGTGCTAAAACAAGGGTTAGGCATGGCGGTGTGAGTGTCGTCTTTGCCCAGCACTGCTCATGCTTATAGTTCTATTGTGAGTGTTGTGTTTTTTAAAATCCCAGTTTGGGGAGCTAAGCAATTATATGAACTCGGGAAATAGCTTGGCTGTTTTTAAAATAAGTTTCTGGACCTCTTGCCTGCAGAGCAAGAATTTAAAAATATAATGTACCTGCACCCTCAGGGCTCTGGCATTACAAGACCAAAAAATAGAAAACAAAAAACCACAGTATTTTTTGTAAAATCTCATACCTGTCAATTGGAAAGCTTTGGAGGGTGTAACCTTAGGGTTTTTGATGTCTTGGGGTTGACAATGTAGCTTGCTAAAGGCACTTGAGTGGACAATTTTTTATTGCTTTTACTATATTAAATTTGTAGGAAAAATCATACACAATTATGTATATATTTTATATGCACGTTTCCACATCTCTGAAGAGAAAATATAGGAATTATGTAATGAAGTTAACTAAGGAAACCTTCACTCCAAAACACTAGAATGATTCTACTGCCTGTGATATTGCTGGTGAACAGAAAATAGCTTCCTGAAGGTCCTGTTTTATTGCTTTTTGGCTTTTTTTTTTTTTTAATTGGTTTGAAGATATCCCAATTAAATCTACTTACAGCAGTATGGTTGCACTGGCAGAAGAATTCACCAGTCTGAACAATGATATTTTTTATAACTACCCTGATTGTTATACTTAGAATTCTTTTAGTACAGTGCTGATTGTCCACCTTCCTTCAGTTGATGTGTTGATGGGGCTCAAGTAATGATATTATACAAATTGGATGAGAAAACATTTTGATTTGAGTGGCCAGATGCCATGTTCAGTAACACACTGAAAGCTGCAAGGGAACTCACAAATTCTAATTGGACTTGCTAAAAAACACATGTAGTGGTTGGAACACCAGTCCTTGCTGGAGCTCAGATTCCCACCGGCACAGCTGCGTCCGTGGTGCCTTGTTTCCTTTTCCACTGAGCCTCCGGGTGTTTCCTGTGTGATTTCAGGACTTCAGCTGCTTCCACCAGGAAGCAAAGCAGAATTTAAAAGGACAAAGACATTATGTCCCCGTCTCCTCTGTGAGACATCAGTGGCATCGCAGCGCTGCCATGGATCAAGAAGGCCTAAACCCTGATATTCTGTAGAAGTATGGGCCTTCGAGCTGAGGAGCTGGGCTCATAGCTCCTGCAGTAAGTTCTGCAGGGGCAGTTGTGTGGGGTCTGACCCCTCTCTACCCTTTTTCCTTCTCCCTCCTTCAGACACATAAAACAGCCAGTGGAAGAGCCTCCATGTGAGGAGGGTTCTCCATGGAGTTTCCTTCTTACCCGGCTTGGGGACAGAAAGAATCCAGAGTTGGGACAGGACTCTGCACTATTCCTGTCCTGGTTTAGATCCTGTGTTTACACTTAGAGAAAAGATGTTGCACTGACTCCTCTGAATATGATAATGGTCATTGCATTCAGATGGAGCTGATATCCATAGACGGTGCTGCGCTTTCAGATTTGTAACTAAATTTCTGTTTTGTTGGTATAGCATTACCTCTAATTTGAAAAGAAAAATGAACTGCTGTCAATGTAGGCTGGAGGTTTTATTTGCAGTACCCCAGCACCCAAATGTGGTGCTACAGTAGCTACCATTATGTGAATTAATGCTCTTGCTGCTAAATAATAAAACCAGTTAAATCTAACATTCTGTTGAAGTTATGGGAGCAGTTAACAATGGAACATGTTGTGACCTTAGATAGTCTTAGAAGCTAAGTAAATATTCCTACAATTGCTACAAACATTGGCAAACAGTAGGGTCTTTCAGAAGAGGGAGGAATTATTCAAAGACAAACTTTTGGAGAAAATTATTGTATGGAAACCTTGCATGGAATCCTGAAACATAACTCAAATGCTCCCTTTAGAAAAAACTCACAAAACTCAGGAATGAAAAAAATATGGAAATGGGTTTCTTTCTGTGTTTGTTCCTCCTGTTTGCTAATGTTAAGACTATCAGAGATTCTCCTAGCTTTCTAACATCTTACTCAATGGGACCATATCAATTATGTAAGATATGAATTCATTTTGAAGTGCTGCTTAAATGCAGTGATAAGAGTGTATTCTGCAGAAGACAGAGCAAGAAAATTTTGAATAAATACTCAATTTACTCTAGGGCTGGAGGCAAATTTCTGCATGAAAAATGGGATTGGTACCCTACAGATGTGCTCTGCTTCACTGTTTAGAATTAGCAATTTGATGAGCTGTCGAGTCACAGGGCTGCTGCTGAGTCTATTCATAGTGGAGAGGCTGGGTTAAATGAGCACCTGCCTCTGCACTTCGCTGAGTGATTATCCACCAAGCGCGAGCAGGAAGCCCGGCTGTCAATTGCAGATAGAAAAATGAAAGCGGCAGAGACTTCCAGGCGCAGGATATGCAGCGAGACGGGGGTCTTGGCTAAATTCCAGGAAATGCGTTGTTAAAGCTTGCTGTGATTTATTCTTATCATTACAGAAATTATTCCTCTCCGATTGTTCTGTAGCCAGTGCTAACAGGGAATGTGGACCTGGAGCTGGAATACTCCTCTGCTGGTGATTACTCACTGGCTTCTGTAGACAAACTTTGGGGCCATATGCATACTTAGGAGGACTGGACAGGGTTTAAGCCTTGTTTCTTTGACTGTTCCCTCGGGCAGACACTTTAAGTGTAAGAGCTTGTGTTCAGTGTTCCTGGCAGTTGGCGCCCTCCAGACTGGTTGTTCAGGTCCTAAAAATGGCACTGGCATGCTCAGTGGTCCCAGCAACTGGTGTACGGTCTAAAGATTTCCACAGGAGCTGAGAATCCACTGGTTGCTGTTTCCCTCCATACGTGACAGCCTCAGAAGTTTCTGCCCTTCAGGTGTTCACTATCACCTCTGTAGCAATAAATGAATTTGTGAGTGTTCCTACTCTGTTTAAATGAACCATTGAAATGAGGTGGGTGTGTTCACATATTTCTCATATCTCCATTGATAGTATTTTACTGGATATACTACCTATGATTATAGTTTTGTTTCTTTTGTAAGGCTGGTAATGAACACACAGAGGCCAGTCATTTTTTTCAAGCTGGTCTTGGAACTGAATGTCTGGACACCAGAGCAGATGTCCGCACACACTGCTGTTCTCCACTGGGGTCAGTGCCCCAGCAGCCCTTAGCCTAGCCCTTAGGCCAAAAGATTTCCCTCTCAATCATACTTCAAAGAGTGAGAAAGAGCTTTAAGACTGAGAGCAAATGTTTTGGTTTTTTCTTGACTGAAACAGTAGCTCCTATCGTGTGACCCTCCAAATCAGCATTAACAGTCCTGCAGGTAGGCAGCATTCAGGCTGGGGGAGGTTTCATTACAGGGAACCTGAAAGCTTGCCACGTGGCAGTTTTCTCCAGCATACCCTTACATTATCAGGTAAGGTTGCTAACAATTCATGAACATCCACAGAGGTTTGTGTTGTTTGCAAAGGATTTGCAATTTTATAGCAATCATGTAGGCATATGCTAAATCATCATATTCACATAGCAGGCTACATACTGTTTATCCTATATGATGGCTGCTATCTTAGAAGAGATAGTAAGTCAGTGCCTGGCTCAGACTGCACAGAGCTACTCAGAAGAAAAAAAAAAAAAAGGAGGTCCTGATGTGAAAAAATATTTTCTTTTTTCATGAAACATGGTGAAGTCATAGCAACTATTATCTTACAAAGAAAATGTGAGCTTTTTTGACCCACTGGATATGAAAGTTAATAGGATAAGGTTTAATTTGCACAAACCAATGTATGCAAACAAGAACGCAGGGAAGTAATAATTTATTAAAGTATCAGGATTCTTTGGAAGAGTCAAACCTGGAAATGAAGTATTGCATCTAACTTGAACCTAAGTAGTCATTTTCATCCTAATCATTCAACCACGGTTTATTTTTATTTGTATCTAGTCTGTTTGTAGTTCTTTGTGCATATTTCTCTCTTTAGATTCATAACTAAATATATATTCCAAATGCAAAGATTTTGGCTTTCTTAAAAGTGCGGATAAAACTTAATGTACATTTATTTTATGCATGACAAGTCTTTCAATTAAAATCTCACTTGTTTTTCTTAAAAGATGCCAGTGGTACATAAAGGCCAAAATGAAATCTGAAGAGAAAAGAAGGGCTCATTTGCAAAATGGACATTGTAAGTAGTTCAACCCTGTGTTACATATATCTATCTCATATTTTAAATTAAGAATGTTCATTGTTTTCTGTACAGCTTCTGCCCTTGATGTTTTAATCTGGCCATTTCAATAGTTTCTTACTGTCTGCACCATCAAGGGTGTTTCTTTTTATTTGTATGTCCTCTTGAACAATTTCACTGAATTCACTCTAGTTAATAAGGTTTTTTGGTATTCTGTTAATAATATTTATCAGTTTTTCAGGTATATTTCTTTGAATTCTCAACTGATCTGGGCCATATTGAATTTCTGCCTCAAAATTCCTCTCTTGGTGACTATGTACTTTATTTTTCTCCAGTTCTCTTTGGCTTTAGGGATCTACACTTCCAGCCACCCAAGAAATAAAAAGTAGAATGGGTTGCCTTCCCTCATGTTCCTGCTCACTGATCAGTACAGTAGAGAAAATCCTGACAATCTCTCGTGGGCACTATATCAATTTAGTTTAGTTTAGCTACTTAGTTTAAATTAGTAGCTTCACTGTTTTATGTTAGAGTAGCTATTTCAAGTTTTTATATTCAAAGTGTATTATGCAAAGGTTATTAATTTTTAATTTTTTTTTGTTACTCATTATAACATCCCTGGAAATACTATGATCAAGACAGAAGCTAAGTCACCAGAATTTAAATCTTTTTCCACATGACACCACTGTGTCCAGCCAAGTGTCTCTTTCTGTCAAGGAAAAGGGCACATTTCCCCATAAAGGATACTTCCTAGGAAGCTTTGTTTGTCATTTGTTTCCAAACATGGTCAAAAAGGAAAGAAGACAAAAACCTTCCTGCTGGAGAGTTTGATATATGCCTCTGTGACAATGACTGAATTTGATAAAAGCCCCACTCAGTGACTTTCAGGCCAGGGTAAATGATGACTGTATTTCACATTGACACAAAGCTTCATCTCAGAGGCTTCTCATTCTCATTTGCAGTTATCTCAGCATCAGACTTGAGGGCGCAAGTGTCTACTCATGTATGTGCTCCACAGAACCAAGGATAAAGAGGAATTACTGTGATTTACCCGAGCAGCTAAGACTATTGCCAACAATACTCCCTCCTTTACACTGGGCACTCAGTGCCTCCATAAGTACCTCCTTCATGATAGCAGCAGTCTTTATCTGACTGCTGACTACCTATAGATTTGGTATCCAGCAACTTGAAACAATATGTGGGGCTGCAGAGTCTCTGCTGGGATCAGTACAAGGGTGACCTGTCCTAGACCAGCTGAAGCTGTTTAAAAAAAAGCTCCACTACAAAACCTGCACTGGTTAGTTCCTGCCTGTTTCTGTTCCCAGATTTGCCATGTCCATGCTTTATATCCTGTCCTTCTGCTGTGTGCAAAAGAAAACCATCTCCTGTTTGTCCTTCTTCTCCCCCTTGTGAGTCAGAGGAAGATTCTGGAGAAATAAGCTGTTTGAAAAGTGTTAGAAAGGGGTCCATGATCTTGCTGATAATACGACCATCCCATGATGTCTGGTGTGTGTACTCTATTGGCAGTGGTCCAAATGGCTGTTGCACACTACTTAATGAAGCCCAGCCACATTCATGTGTCCTGAATATGTGTTCTTCACCTAATGCATTTAGGGTCATCAGATAATGAGCTGCTTTAGACTCAGCTACTAAGTGATAAGAGGAAGAAAGCTGAGAGGTACTTAACTCTTTTAAAAGAGATTCTCTGGACCCAGCTGCAGTACCCTCCTCTTATCCTGATAAGTTGATGCATTATCTACATCAATTTCTGTTAACGAATTGAAAGTTTTCCAGAACTTAATCACCACATGGCAGCAGCCTAAAAAAATTCCCATCCAGATAGTCCAAGAGAAACAACGTAAGTTCTTGGACACGCCATACTCAAGAACACAAGGGATATTAGCCATGCCAGAAAATGATGGCTTGCTGGAGCCTGCCAAAGCAATCTGGCACCAATCCACTATTGCCACAGCCATCTCCAAGGAAGCAGACAGAAATTATCGAAGCCTTGTAAATGGATTTGGATATTTTTGTTCTCGTCTTGCACCTGGCTCTCTGATTGTTCAAGCTGATCAGAAGAGAACAAAGCAGCACAGTCCTCCAGGACCCATCCTCAGAGAAAAGGATCTCAAAAATTGGACCTGTTTGACAAAAGGAACGATCAGCCATCCACCCATAAATGAAAGGAGTGAATTAGAAGGCACTGTTTTCGAAGCAAAGGACAGGTTGCCTAAATTGCCCAAGGAGCAGCAAAGATGAATATGAACTGCTTTGGCAGTAATCACTGTTAGTCCTAAGGATCTGCTTTTCCCCATATCTTAGAGCCCTCACTTGGTGTCTCTGTAGACAGTCTTTCAAGTGACCAGCTCAGAGCACATATTTTCTCTCATGACTTGCTGCATTTTCCAGATTTACCAGCTGTGCTTGAAGCATTCCTTAAGGATGTGAACTAAGTGCGGAGACTCCAAGGACCCTCTTCAGAATAAAATACTAAATAGCATTTGGAAAGGAAATGTATACAATTAAAAAAAAAAAATCAAATGTACTTTATCTTGGATATAAAATGTAACCTTGGATATAAAATATCCAAAATAGCATTTTCCTGAAAACTCATCTAGGGTTGTTATTTTTTCCCAAGGAGAAATTTCCAAAAACTTCATTGTCCTCTTAATTTTCCTGACTGAAATGCCTTATATCAGGCAATGCTTGTGTTCAGCTCAGACAGACACAAAACAGCGTAAGAGTTTGACACTATCTTATCAGTTGAATAGCAAAGACTTGAGTTTTCTAAAGGCCTTTGACTTTTTGTTCCTGTGGGACAGGATAAAATCTGGGACCTATGTAGCTAGCAAACATGACAGTAACTAGAGGTATAAATAACATTCAAAGAACCTGATACCTGTATTTCCTCCATTCTTTACATTAACACTGTTTATCAGTTATCATTGCAAGCTGAAAGCATGTTTGATGTAACAATGCAGTGCAGCACTCCTGAAGAAGTATCCATGCTTTTAGTCATCCAGAACATCTCAGGAGATTTGAACAGGGTGCAGCAGGACCTTGCTCACAGTTTCAGCCAGTAGTTTTGAATGCTTTTGCTAGTGTTGGGTTGGCAGAGGCTTATCCATGGAGTTGTAACACCCAGCTCTTTCATGTCTCAGAAGCCTCATCTAAAAAAGCCACTTGAAGGATAAGAGGAAATGCTTAAGTCTGTGCCCAGTCAATCTTTGAAGGCTCTGGTGCTGCCAGCAAATGGGGACAACTCATGTGCATTCTATAGTTGGTTTCTGTGAAATAAGCAGCAAGCATTAGTAATTTGGGGTCATAATCCTCTTTTGTTGGGTTCTGGAACTTTAAATGTGGATGATTTAATAGATTATTTCCAATCCTTTCAGTTGTCTAGTCAACCGAAAAAAAAAAAAAAAGAGGAAACCATATTTTTACAGTGTGTGAATGTCAAAGAATGCTTGATCCCTAGTATTCTCTCTTTTTTGCAGTACGTTTCCCAGGAGTCAAAACATATATTGATCCAGATACATATGAAGATCCATCTCTTGCTGTCCATGAGTTTGCAAAGGAGATAGATCCTTCAAGAATTCGTATTGAGAGAGTTATTGGGGCAGGTAAAAGTACACCCACTTTAAAAAATGTCTAGGTATGGACGGGCTGCTTTTCTCAAGTTGCCGTGCTAATGCAAGTGGTCAGTATATTACAAAATGGGGGCATATTTCTCTGATCGCACCAGTTCACTCTCAAGCGTTGTATACATGAGGTATTGTACTTGGCTAATATTCCAAATGTGTGTGTGTATTCAAATAAGGAGTTCATGCGAGGCAGATTCTCCGAAGTGATATGTTTATCGCAAACCTTTTTCGAGCCTTTATCAATTTTTTGGGTAGGATTGGTTTGGGGGGGGGTTTTTGGTTTGGTTTTGGTTTTTTTTTTATTTGTTCCAAATGTACTCCAAACACTGTGTCACTCAGCATTTGCCATAGTTAGTGTCACAAATTCTCTGTCACTGAGCAGGAGATTTGATCAGAATCTCTCTCTGGGGGGAGATAAGATCAGAATATAAGAAGACTTAGCAAAAAATATTCTTAAATAGGAAATAGGAGTACAAGGGTGAAAAGGAGAGGCTGGCTTGGGACAGGTTTTCCTGTAGCTGTGTGGAGAAGGTGTAGACGGTATAAAAGGTGACATGACGTGGAGCTGGGAAACAGGATGAAGGGGAAAAATAGCTGCAGGTTCTCCTCTTACATCTCTGTTTGTCCAAGTGGGGACAGAGAGGAATTACATCTGAGCAATTGTTTTAGATCCTGTTCTCATCTCTGTGGTGTTTACCTTCAGTGGAGAACACCTCATTGGGGACGTAAGCCATTTCACAGCTGTTTGAAAATAAGTTTCAGAAGTTCATTAATCCTGCATGTATACTGGCCTTTTCTATTAAGGGTGATAACACAACCCTTCTGTTTTCAGGGATCTTACCTTTTGCTAATGTGCTCTGTTTATAGGCATGCCTATTCTGTGCATTCAATCTTATCCCCTTGTCTTAGCTTTGGTTTAATTGTCAGGTTTTGCTACTCAGAAAAGTGCTGTGCAAGTGTTGCCACGCATTCACTTTTGGAAAGCCTTTGTAGGGATAAAGGCTCATGGCTGCTGTCTGGCGTTCACTAGAGGTCCTGGTGGCAGCTCAGTGGAGACAGAAAACACACCTTTGTGGTTAACACGACAAAAGTGAAACACTTGAAACGATCAGAGTCTTGTAAAACCGTTTCTTGTAACTTGTGTTCTGACTCTCTAGGGCAGATAGATAGCATTTCATTATTGACCAAGTCCTGAGATTCTTTGCTGTCTGTTTTACCCACTGTAGTTTACTGAGGACTTAGAGACACAAGGCTAGAAAAGGGCCTTACGAAGTTACCTGACTAGTGGATCTCAGTGCACGGCTTGTGACCAACATGTCATTCAGAAAGTCCACCAACATTTCTCACAGTTACAACAAATTAAAACAAAAACCAGACTGACAATGTTACCTGCACACAGTCAATGGCTGGGGAGCATTAATCATTTCTCAGGTCCAATAGAAAGGGAAGGTGGGAGAGCTAAGGGTCTGTGTCAGAAGATTTGATGAACGTCTGAACAGAATCCTGAGCTCTACTTCCAGCTCTGAAATTTAATTTCTTCCTGTGAAAGACATTAACTCAATACCTTTCTTCAGTTTACACAATATGGACATTTCTATGCCTCCTTAAGATAATAAGAGTGACTGAGTTTTGTAAATTGCCATCTTATAGGTACTTGTAATACTGGCTATGGAGATGTTTTGTCTTCACCTCACTGTAATTTTATTTCCGTAGCAATAATTAGTATGTTCCATACTCCAGTGCCCATTTTTGAGCTATCCATTCTGGGCTTTCTTTAACAATTCTGTTTTATTACTTACAAAGTAAATGCCAACATGCAAATGCTTTTTTTTGTTACCTTATTTACTTTCTCTAAACTTAATACCATCAAGAAAAAAAAATCATTCACACTACAACAGACTGCAAAAATTGGAGTTACATCTTGTAGAAGGGGGTCAGTGGAAAAAAAATTTTAATAGGCTCATAGTAAGCCCACCAAAGAACTCATGCTAGCAGGTATTGTCAGGAAGGTTAGTATGAGGAGACATAATGCACTGTGATCCTTCTTTTTTATCTTTGTTTCATATATCTTAGTCACTCAAGAAAGGAGAGGTATTTTTCAGTTGAGATCCCTCATTTAATGATACGTTACTACACTGATAGAAACGGAAATGTCTCCAGTGGTGCTAAAAACTGTTTTATGCACTAGAAAATGTCATGCAAATAATATAACAGAAATAAAATCTGGTCTGTTAACAAACAGGGGAGAGAAAGTATCGACCTGAAAGTAAGAGAGAAAATTCTGTTTCGTGCTGCAGTCCATATCGCTTGAGTACTTTAGAGTTTACCTGATTGCTTAAGCTAGATAATACATAGCTGGCACTGTGCACCACTGGAATTATGAGCTTGAGAGAGAGCCCCCAGAGGGCTGACTTCTGCAGAAAACATTCTATCTGATTTCTTTTATTTCTTCCTTTTCTTCAGACATGCTACAGATATTGATGTCTTAGATTATAAAGCATATTGAACTACATTCAGCACTGGTATAACTGCTGATTTCAAAGGAGTTGAATACGACAGACAAGGATTGAGCTTATTGATTTTAGTTCAGATGAAAATTGTGTCCTTACTCTCAACTTAATTCATTTATGAAAATTCTTTACTCAGCTTCTCTCTCCCTTTTCTTGTATGCGTGGGAGTGAATTTTTGCCTGCTTTGACTTATTTTATTTTTACATTTTTTATCTTCTAAAATGACTTGGGTAATCTGCCATCTTCAAAGATATTTGCCTAGCAGGGCTTGCAAACTGGTTGCAATGAAATTTAAACCCATTTCCATGCAGGCAAGATGCAGGTTAAATACCATGCCTGAGGCACAGAGAGCACAAATTCTCAAAGAGTTCTTCAATAGCTGCTAGGGGACATAACATATCATTATAATTCACAGCAGTCCTGAGACTTTCTTTTTGCCTTCTCTCTAATTCTGTATTAAACATTGCAACCAGATATAAAAGGATTTTCTTATCATAGGAGAATTACTTTTAAAAGGTGCTTACAATTTTCACCTAAGTGAAACAAAAATGAAAATCCTTTACAAAATGAAACATTAAAATATTTTAAGAAGTGAATTAGTAGATGCATTTCTTAAATTTGTTTTGTTTGAACATTTTATTTGGATCAATATTTTTAACTTTTAATTTCTTTAATTTTTCAAAACAAAAATAATTTCCATTCAAGAACTAAAAGGTTTCATTTTGAAAATATTGCAAATATTGCAAATATTTGAAATTTTTTTTCTAGCATTTCTGGTCATGAAATTTTTGAAACTGTTCTTTTCCTGAAAGCAGTTTCCAGTTTGGTTTTTCAATGGGAAAAGTCACGTCCAAAAGCTCTTGACAATTCACTAGTTGCAGGGCAGATGGCTTTGACACTCAAGGCAAGTATTTCTTCTAGTTTCTTTTTTCAGCTTACCTAACTCTGTACCCAAGTTATCTTTTGAAGTATTTGGTAATTATAATCTTGGGATATGTGAATTGGAAATGTACATTATATTATTTGCTGCTGAGTAATCTATCCGAGGATGATACCATCAAATCAGAAGTAGTATTTTCAACTAAAGCTACTGATTATCTTATTTCTGATTACAGCACTGTTAAAAGTTAAAATCTCCTAACTGCTCCACTTACATCAGATACACACACACTATAGACTTGAAAAACAAAGACTTCCTCTTTATTATTTTTGTCCTATATTTCAGTCTCTGCTTGCAAGTGCAAAATCTGAGAGCCCCTGAGTGTATGTACATATATATGTACATCTGAATACTGCACAAGACATTGGGATTTCTCTGCAATCATTTATTAGCCATGGTATACAGATGATTTTGTGTGCTGCTTTGGTGCCAAGTTCTAATAACAAAAGGGTAGTACTATGTGATGTAAAAAAAAGAGAGCGAATATCTAAAATTGTTGCTTACACACTGACTTTTCCAGATAATGGTGTTTTTCCATCGGATACTAAAAATGGGTTCAGAGAATGTGGCAACAAATGGTCAAATTGAAAAAGTAGCAATATCTTCAAGCAGTAACCACAGACTGGAAAATAGCCTTTAGTAGTTACAAAGTTCAAGATGACACTTGGCCTGCAACAGTCAAAGACATCATAGCCAAAATTAAAAAAAAGAAAATTTTTTTGTTGTTGTTTCTGAGAAAAAATGAATTAGTGCAATCCCTTGTTAAAATCCTTTTTTCAAGTCCTTCCAGTGTACATTTACTGAGCTGATGTTTTTGAATGCAGCCACTACATTCTATGGAGCCAGTTAACTGAAACTTTGATCTCAGCTCTCCCAGTCTTCCCCTCTGGCGTGCTTTTGGTGTTCCAGTACTTCTGAAAACTCTCTGAATTACTATCCTTCCTCTGGTGGTTTGGTGAAAATAAAGCAAGTAAAATACGGATTTTGCAAATTCCTTTCTAAATTATCCATGCTTTACTTACTCCGTGTGTAGACAAGAGAGATCTGCATACAAGTAGCAATATCTGCACGCAAGAGACCTGCATTAAGTAATAATATCCCCTGAGTGGCTTCCCATCATCTCCTACCTTACCTCTTGTTCATCTGAGAAAAAAAAAAGCTGTGTCGCAGAGCTTTTGATTGAATGAAAGATTATCCAGGTTAATAGCTGTTAATGATCTCTTTCGTTAGTCTTCGAATAACTTCTGCTGATATCTTGGTTCAAACTGGAGGGTAAAGGCAGTAGGGGAAACTGTGCAACCAAAATGGAAACTACAGTTTGATCAAATATTCATAATAGCAAGCAGATTACAATACCAAAGGCAAACCAGAATCTATTTGTAAGTGCTTAGTTTATGTTTCTCACAGTAACATCAACCAAATAAACAGGTATTAATGAAGTTCGCATTCTAGCAATAATTACTGTTTAAATAGTGAAATTGATTAGTCTATTCCCTTTTCTTCTATCCACTACTTATGACAAAGTTTTACTATTGTTTAATTTGATGTTGTATATTCTTGGATTCAAAAGTCTTGGCCAAGATTTTTTTTATCACTAGTACTAAATATTCCATGAGATCTCCCATTGGTTCATTACAAAGATCACTGGGTGCCTTTTTGCCAGTTCCCACAATTTGCCATCTATTCATTGCTGAAGATTTTCTTCAAATGGTCCCTTTGAGCTTGCTGCACCTACTGACATGTTATCATATCGTTTGATTTTGTCCTGTCCATGACACCTTTTTCTGCCCCATCACTTCTTTCTCTTTGGTTTAAGGCTTCAGCACCTTTTCATGGAAGGAATTCCCAGAGGTACTTTCTCAAGTCTGTCTTAAAAGTTAGAATTACGCTCTTATTTTCTTTGTTAAAATGTTGAAACTCAAGGAAGAGGCCAACTCTTCCATTTTGCACAGAGAGTACGCTATAGTCTTCTTATAATCTAAATCTTCTGCCAGTTATCCCACAGGTATAATGACTAAAACTGGGGAAAATGAGTTGAGCTGTATTTGGTGCTGTGACCTTTCAGTTCTAATAACAGCAACTGTCTTGTATTGTAAGACTTGTGTTTTGATCCCATGTAGCAATACCAGACTGTGTATCAGACTTTTAAGTGACTGACTATTCCTGTTTCATTTTAAATAACACATATGTTATGACTGAATGAGAAAAGGGATGCATGGTTTGCATATGGTAAGTTTCTAGACTGCTCAATTAGCTTCTTTTTGTATAACATGCAGTAAGACATATAGGTTTTATATCATTAAAGCAGGGATTATTTATACTTTATTAAAACTGAACAGACAATTAACTCTATCTTTTTTCTCTAGTTATCACCAGCTTTTTCCCTGGAGCAAGGAAAGATGTCGTCTTCATTGACATCTGGCTCTTATCTTCTACTTATTACATATGCAGTCATGAACCTTTACTGCTGCAGGGTCAACATTTGTCTTGTTTATCTTCAAACTTGAGCAATGAGACTTAGATTCTTGGATTTTAAAAGTCCCTTTTGTTGAATAAATTCCCCTTTGACTTTAAAAACATTCAAAATTCTTTATCTGAACAAAAGTGTAGAAAAAATACTCTGGGATGAAATCTTGGCTAACTCTTTCTCAATGTAAATAGTTCAGTGCTCTAAATTATATCATTGATCTCCATCTAGTCTAAACCAGAACTAGAAGTTATTATACATACCTTAGGTTTTTAAATGGAATAACAGTCTGTTCTGTGAGCTGATGATCACTTACTGACTGTTTGACATCACATTGCAAAAAAAATGCTGTTAGTCTTTATGTACGCCAGTTTATCAATCCCAATATCCAAGGGGAGTGAAATTTCTTTCTACCTGTACAAATCATGCATCCAAAAAAGGGAAAAGAAACAGGTCAGGGAGGAGACATGATGTTCATTCCCCTGCTTTGGATGTTGTACAGATAATAAATCTTGGGATTGTAAGTCCTTCACTTGCCTCCTTCAGTTTAATTCATTTCAAAACACTTTATGAACAGCCTTTTACAGTCCCTGAGGTATGAATGCCATTATTTCTGAAATTCTAAAGTTGTAGTACTCTTGTACAATCTTATAATAGCAAAATGATTTATTCTATAGCGTATGCTTTCCAAATTATTCTCAAAAATGAGATTTTATAATTCTGCAGATTTATTGATCATGAAATCTCTTTAAAAATCTGGATATTAAGGGTCTGGTATTTTTGCTTTTCACTTTCATTAAGAGAGAGACATTGAAAATTTTTCTCATTTTAGGCATTTAAGTTTGAAAAGCCAGTAAGGTGCAATAAGGTCATGGCTTTAGAGGTGTGTTCTAGCACTGCTAGATGTATCACTGCTAGAGTAGAAGATTGATATACATGTCTCTTGCAAAACATTCAGGTTTCATTACTTTGTTTTATGGTAAGATTTTAGAATTCCAAATTAGCTACTACTTTTTCAGTGGCAGTAGTCAAGCAAACAAATTTTTAAGGAGAGCCTTCTAAGAGCTAAAGGGACAAAATCATATAGGGAAATCCATACCCAACTCTCCCTTTTGTCAAAATATTCCCAGAGCATTAGCCTGATGACATATATTTTCACACATACACACATCTTCAGGGAAGCACATGCTTTGATTTAATTTTTAAAATTACGTAGAAAGAAAACAAACAGTGTTTTTTTGGTAGAAAGAAGACCTAAGACACCTGACTTTTGTTAGCCCTTTAAGAAGCTGCTAATATATTCAGAGGTTATGTTCAGCATCTGTTATTTGTACTCTCGCACTTAATGGTGTCTGTTTTAAAGTGAAAGACAAGCTATGAAACTGTTTTTTTTAATCGCTCCACTCTTCTTGGATCATATTGGCTAATAAAACCTTGGTTTATTTTAGTGGAAGACAGAACCTAATTAAATAAAAGCTGTATGACAATATCTATTCTAATCACATAACATCAGGGAGTTATAATTTTCTGAAGTGAAGTCTTTAAGGCCTCTCTCTTCTACATTCGGTTCATGTCTGGAGACACATTGTTACAGGATAGAGCCCTCTTATTTTGTTTTCTTTTGTTCCATCCTTAAAGTTTAAGGAAAACTAATTCAGACAGCATTCAATGGAGAGGGTAACAAATTATTTCCTCCAGTTAAATATATATCTGTTTATGACTCATTTTTTGTTTTTCAACAGTTCTAATTCTGAAATGACTGAGGTAGAGAATATCGTTTTGCTGTGGAAGTACCCTGCACTGAGAAGTGCTTTGAAATACTTTTGTGAACATTATTTTTCATTTACTGAATTATGACCCATTGAAAACTGACCTGCAGGCATCCAGAGTATGTTTGTTAGGGGCCTTAAATAACTTTTGAGTGGCTTCAAGATCAAAGGAAAGTTGTGATTTCCGTACAAACTTAGTTAGTGAATGTGTAAATGGAATGTGAGGAGACATGCATTCTTCTAAGGCCCTTACATACACAGGAAAATATCAGGTGAAGCAAGCTTTGAGATTCGTCTCATTATGCAACTCAGTCCTGATTTGCTGAAACTGTTGGCCTTTGGCTGTCTGAACAGTGAAATTTGTAATAAATTTCAAGTGTGTAAGTCCATTTAAATGAATCATCTGCAAGTGCTTTTCTAGGGCATAATAGCATTAAGTACATTTTAAATGTACAGTTGGAGGATAGTCAGGTATTCTGATATTCTCATGGCATTTCTTTTCATATAGGTCTTAGTGCATGACACCCCTATAGATAGATACTGCTATAAGTAGATATTTTAGATAGATACTTTGTCATCATTGAGATTAAAATCTAAGTGTCATTACATTCCTTCCTCGTAGCATGCTCAGTCAATATCACAAATATATTGATGTCAAAGTTCAGTCTCAAAGTATCAGTAAAGCAAAGTGAACCACACCGTGGAGGGCAGATGGTTTGGCTGTTGCAGTGAAAGTACAAGTCCCCATAATCTTGTGGTGTTGCACAAAGGAAAAGTGATTATTTGTTGTGCAGTAATGTTGAATATTTTGCTTTTCTGGAATGTGAAGAAACTCAGGAACTTGAATATCCCATTCGTTATTTCTCTGTCCACTTCTACAGGATGTGTGAGTTTCTTGAATATTTTTGCATTCTTGTTTCACTGACAACTACAAATAACTTTGAACTATTAAAAAAACCCACAGCTTTGAAGACAGCTATTGAAGGTTATTTTGAAAAATAAGGTGTTTAAGTTCAGCAATACAAACTGTACTGTAGTTCTTCAGGCACTGTGAATGATCTAACAAATATTTTATCTATTTAAGGTGAGTTTGGAGAAGTATGCAGTGGACGTCTGAAGACACCAGGAAAACGAGAGATACCTGTTGCAATTAAAACTCTAAAAGGTGGCTATGTGGACAGGCAGAGAAGAGATTTCCTGAGAGAGGCTAGTATCATGGGACAATTTGATCACCCAAATATAATTCGCCTTGAAGGAGTTGTTACAAAAAGTAAGTCACTACTAATAGCTGTTTGTTGTTTTTCCCATTCTTTATAATTTAGTATGAAAATCAAGCATAGCTTCCACATTCAATATGGATTGCAATTCTCAGAAATTATCCAAATCAAAAAGTGCAGCAGAAACTGCAGAATTTGGGACCATAATAGGAAATTCATGGCCTATCTGTTTTCAATTAGAAATGTTTTCTTTTTATTTTTTAACAAACATCCTCCTCATTCAAATAAAGTTTTTAAAGGTTCTTATGAAATAGCACTGTAGAGTTTGCTTACAGGCAAGTGGAATACAGTAAAGAAAGCCATAAGTGTACCTGAGTTGACAATGAAGTCAAATCATTGTGTCAGGTAGCAGCTATAGTATACTTTTCCCATGAGCACTCACTCCTATTTGGTTGTGTTTTACTGATTTTGGTACCAGAAAAGATCAATTTCCTATTTTAAAGAAATAAAATGTAAACTCTTTCAAACTTATTGTACACTTGCAAATGATTCACTAAAATTCCAGAATAATCCATGAAATGTCTTACTCTTTATACCTATACGATACCCCTTGCTTCTGAAATCTAGCATTTTTAGTGGGGTTATGGGCTTTTCTGAAATGCTGAAATACCTAGTTATCATTTACGTATTAAGTAAAAATCTTATTAACGTGTGTGTAATTTCTTTAATGCCAATTTTTTTGCAGTAATGAATTAAAAAACTCATAAGGTATACTCTTCTCAAAATTAATTGTTGCCTCAACTAAACCATGATGTTTGCTGATTTGCAGTACTTCTATTTTTCCTTTAAAGATCAAGTGTTGTGTGTATAAAATAATGATGTCCTCTTACCGTCACAGTAAATACAATAAATACATTATGAATATCCCGTTTTCACCTTGTTCCAATATCAAAAGCTATGTTTGGAAAACACAATGTACTAGAACAAAGAGAAAATTATAGCTCCTGAACTCATGTCATTGGAATGGAATTTCAATAGGTTTACAGGATGACCTTGTTCAAATCTGTCTCTCTCTGGTTCTAAATTAAGATGAAAAGGATCTTTTTTTTAATTCACACAGTATTGCAAGGATAAATTCATTACTATTTAGGAATGTTTGATTACTAGACTAACAGAATTCATTACATTGCAGGCTTCTGGAAAGTTATGGCTTAGTCTCCTCCATTGCTCTCCTGTCAGTAAATGCTCTCCTGACAACAAACAAGAACATGAGCTTATACTGGCTGAGCAGAATTGGAGATCTTTGCCAAGAGATGTATATATGTAGGAACTTAATTGAATTTATCTATTTGTTTCATAATGATCAGTATAGCAGCAATGAAATTCCACCAGTCTTCACCAACATGGACAGTTTATGAACCAGTATTGCAGGTATGACTAGGATCCATGTGGTGCATCTAGTAGTGTATGTCTCATTTCTGAAAAAGGCTAATGGCTATCATTTACGAATGTTTTTTAAATGCAATTAGATGGTGCACACAGAGTACCACATAATGTACTTGGCAATGGCATGATTGTTTAACCTTTGCCACATTGATAAATTTTCTTTCTGTAGTTTCTCATCATCAGTCTAGAGAGAAATGAAGATTGCATTAAGAAAACAGAAACAGATAAATAAGTGCTCCAACACTAGGGTATTTGTTCCTGTTTTACAGAAAAAGTGGTTATAGACAACTTTAAGTCAAGAAGTCATCATTAGCAGTTCTGCTTTTCTCTAGGAGAAGAGTCAACAAACTTTATTATTGTTTTTGGAATATTTGCTTAGCAGTAATATAAACTAGTAGGTGTTACTGTTAGTCACACTGTCCTATAAAAATAAGCATCTCAGGTATAAGTAGAGAAAGTTTGAAAGAAAATATTTTGGGGTCAGGCAGGTTTAAAAAAAAAGCAATTATACAGCAATAATTTAGCATGAAAAAATGCATGAGTTATCAATAAATGTCACCCTAAGGCATGGAAAGTGCAAGTTATATAAAGTGTAAAGGACAAAGTTGTGTGTTACTGCTCTGCTGCAGGGAAGAAGTTAGGAGGCAGGCTGAGCAATGGGCACATGCACTCTGCTATGCTTCTCTTTTGACAGTTTATCTTCAGGATGTTGCCTTGCATTTATACTGACCCATCTGTGGAATTTAGAGAATAACATGGCTTCAGCTGGGAGCAGAACAGTTACCTTGCATTTCACTAAATCCTAAATCTAGGATTGCACAAGCCAACATCGGGGCAGAATTTGCCTGTAACTAAAAGGTGTGCTGTAAAAGTGAGACAAACCCTTGTCCTAGCCAAATAATTTATGTAATGATGGCATGATTAAAAGGTGTTTTGTGTTAAAACTTAGATTAATAACAGCAGAAACTATTTATCTGATGTGTATTACAGTTCCACTAACCTATAAAGGCACATCGGATGCAGTAAATTTGATTAATAGACGTGTAATGCTGTTCTTAGCACATGCTTTCCTCTTTGTAACCATTAGTCATTAACTTCTAGCAGTTGCTGATATATATTGCATCACTTTGTAAGCAGTACCTTCCATTACAGTGTCATTGACTACTGAACAAAAAAGAAAAAGGATTTGATTGTAATAAGCAGAAGTGCTCTACCAAGTCAATAGCTATTGACTGGGGCAATAACAAATTTGCCTGTTCATTCCAAATGAGACCTTTTATCTGGTGCTACCAGCTAAGCAGATGTTAACTTTTAAATGACACTGTTTTCAAAATTGCTATGGAATATATACTGTACGGGATGAAAAAATGCTAAACTAAGCCTGCTCAGAATTAGGTCTGAAACAGAGTTTTAATCCCCTTTTCTGATTGCTTCCTTCCTCATTTGTCCTAACTGCGATCCCTAATCGTAGAGAGCAGTAGGCAGAACAGTTGCTGTAGCACAAGTTTTATGTTAGCGGAGAGTTCATTTCAAGGGCAATTTACCAGGCCAAGGCAAATACACCATAGCACAGAATCTGGATCCGAAAGTTTGCTTCTATTGCTAATCAGAAGTCACAAGGGAAACTTTCTTCCTATGTGGTTCATTTTAGCAACACCGTTCCTTGCGTGGTTTGCCACAAAAGGCTGCTTATTGCCTCACAAATTGATAAGAGATGCTTAGGTGCTTGATCAAAGCATCCATGTTTCCCTTTCAAGTCATATTAGCACAGTGATAATTTTGGCCGCTCTTCTTGGGTGTGCCAGGGCATGTTCAGCCGAGTTGTATGTCATTGTCCAAGCTGCTGCTATTTCATAAACAGGTATAAGAAAAATAAAACTTCTTTCTCCAGCATGAACATATGTAACCAACATTGAGATCAGGGCTGTACAGGAGTAAGATGTGTCTTCTGCTCCTACATCACGCTGAAGTCTGTGTTGCAGGTTTTCCTTGAAAAGTCCATAACGTAAACTAAAGCTAGGCTTACAGCAAACCTGCCAACATAACTATATCTACAAGAGACATGAAAAAATGGTCTCTGACTGTTGGAACTGTACTGGAAGAAATAATTGGTGTTACACTAGCCAAACAGGAATCTAGTTAGCTTAGCTTGATATCTTACACAATAGTTTAAAGCATGGCCTTGTCAATACTGTGTACTACTGTGTCAATACAAAATATCAATTCATGCAAGGGCTTTATAGTAGTCAAAATCTTAGTTTGTTCTTCTCCCCTTCGGACTTCAGCCCAAATTATTTTCAATTGTTAAAATTAATTTTTAAGGAATTGCTTCTGTTTCTGAACTCTGAGGATTTGCACCAGTCACACTTGCAAGAGGAATCTTTTTAAGGCGTTCACTTTCTTTATCAACATTCTGTATACTGTTATTCTCCAGAAAAATTTTCAAATTAATCCCTTCACAAAAGGATGAATGAAGACAGCTACTAGATTTTTGGTTCTGTGTAAGCTCACATCCCCGTAACATCGAGTCTGGGTTTGGAATGACACCTTCAACTCCTTTATTGTCTCCTCACTGTTTTGCTTTAGTGAGTTTCAAATTGTGAATTCTATCGCGGTTCTGAAATCTTTAGTCAGTCATCTGGCAGATTAAATTCAAAGCTTTAATCATTGAGTTTCTCTTTAAATTATTGTGTATAATACAATACAAGAAGAGTCCTGAGGTCAGTCCATGAGGAAAGCAAAGCAGCAGCATGATCCTCTTTCACTACAATATGCAGTATGTAGCTCTTCATATCTGACCCATTTTTCATTTATCAAATATGCAGGAGATAACAATAATTTTTTTTTTCAGCCAAGACATTGTGTTCTAGGCCTCTGAGCCCTTAGTGTAATGAATCTAATGGTGCCCTTTTCTCCAACCTGTTAAGAGGTTGAGACTATTAAATGGAGTTCAGAATTCATTTTGGAAGGTGACATATTTTGCAGTATATGTGTTTATTATACACGGCATTGTATACTTGGCTGTTATGCAAAAGGAGTGAGGAAATTTTCTGGCAGTGTTTGTAACACCCTTACCTTGGTCATGGATGGCGAAATTTTACTCCCAAGAAATGTGATTGTGCAAAGTTAAATGTTGACCTTTTTAAGAGTTAAGTTGTGACTATTTGAAGTGGGCTACACCACAATGGCTTACAAAATATGATTATGACTATACACCAAAAAAACGTGACTTACATTACAGTATTTATCATTGATTTCTGAAAAGTAAAACCTTTAGGGCCAACAGAAAACATATGATGTTAATAATTTCCATGTCACCATTATAGTTGTGTTCATAACCTAGAGTGTAACCAATTTCAAATCTTGACATTTACTTCTGTCAGTAATCGCAGTACATCACTGAAGACATCACTGGCATCTCTAGGCACAGATGTATTTGTTGGTGCCCACCCCTTGAACCCACCCCTTGCACTGGCAGGCACTTATACCTGCCTTATGCAACACAGATAGACAGCAGGGTAAGAAGAAGTTATTCAACCCTGCAGATCTTCTGTTCTGCTTACGGACAATCCACTGTGACACAGCATGGTGGTGAAGACTGTATGGG